TTAAATTAAAACAATTAAAATTAAATAAAAGTTTAATAAAAAATTTCTTAAGAAAAATTACTTCTAGCAACAAATATTAAAACAAATATAGTTTTTTCTTTATTAACATTAAGCATTGAAATTCAAACATTAAGCTAAAGATATTTATAACAATAAATATTAAAACCAGAAAAAATGTTTACTTCGGTTGTACATAGTCAGCTTCAAAGATAAAATGTTATTCATACAAGATCGGTTGGTTTGTATGCCAACTAACTATTTATGTGCTATACTATTTCGATCTCAATAATTTCTTCGGAGATTATACCGTTACCTTAGACTATAATTATAATAAAATTTTATTAAGATATCTTATGAAATGAAAAAGTTTTCTATACAAGGACTTGTGTTTGATGGTTCAGTTTCTATGGCAGCTATAGACTATAGTGATCCGATCTTAACAATTTCTTAGGAAATTGTAGTGGTGTTTTGGATAAGAATCTGTACCAAATTTCGTGAAGAAACTTCGTCAAATAAAAAAGTTTTCCGTGTAAGGATTTGAGTTTGATGGTTCAGTTTGTATGGCAGCTATAGGCTATAGTGATCCGATCTGAACAATTTCTTTGAAAATTGTACCGTTAGCTTAACCAATAATTTATGTGAAATTTCAAGAAGATATCTCGTCAAATAAAAAATTTTTCCATACAAGGATTTGAGTTTGATGGCTCGGTTTGTATGGCAGCTGTATGTTATAGTTATCCGATATCGGCGATTTCGAAGGAAAAGTAGCATCTTGGTGAGAGAAAGAGGTGTGCAAAATTTCAGCTTGATATCTCAAAAACTAAAGGACAGGGTTGCTTTTATACTGAGGGAATGATAGAAAGATGAATATTAGTCAACCGATGTGCTCCATACGCTGATCGTTAACATCAAATTTTACTATAATTATTGCTTTCATTTTCGTACTCACTAGATTAAAAGATCTTATTTTCGAAAAAGCGATCCAATCGTGTGAGAGCTCCATACCTACTAATTGATCCTTCATTCACTTGATAGGAACTCCTTGAGAGCATTTTTTCAACATGACAGATAAAGGTTTTTACCTGATAACTAAGTAAAAGAAAGTGTATGATATATTAAATACATCCCCGTGGTTTTCGTTGGCATTATACTCCAAATACCCCAAATAGTAAGCACGAAATATTTCTGGAGCTTTGTGTGATGAAGTAATGATAAATAAAGTGGTTGCACTTGTTACAGACTTATACATTCTCTCGATAATTTGTTGAATTTGGCTGATACCGCAGTCCTTTCCCGTTATAAACTCCGGTTCGATCGGATTTCATAGACCCCACTGACGTGAATATGTGTACAAATAGACTACTTGCGGCTACTAACACCTGATTTTCTTGGAAAATATTACTGCCCTTCTGGGCGACGTAAAATTTAAACATTAAGAAGATCACAATGGGATTTAATGGACTAAATTCATCATGGCGAACTTTCCAAATTTAAAATAATCACGAATTATGGAAACACACTACAATCTATCACACAATTTTATATTAAATTCAATTGAAAATATTATGAAACTAATTATTCTTCGTCTTTTCTACGCTTTCAGCTGAATCCTTCACCGAAGTCGATGATGATGGCAATGAAATCGAAGTTAAACGCTTCTACATTGAAGGCCGTCAGTTGAACGGTGGTCGCCGGCAATGTTATGAGACACGTAGGCGCAAGCGTTCTTACGCCTATGGACAAGAAGAAGACAAGTCCAATGATGAGATTCTAACAGCTACCTCAACGGCCCCAAGCGGTATTGATACCGCTGTCTCCATAGATGAAGAGGATGACATGGAAGAAGATAAGCCGGTTGGCGTGTACGGAATACGCCAAGGTGCTGACAATGGGGAACAGAATATGGCTGATGATGGAGCTGACGAGAATGAGAAAGAGGATGAAGACGAAGCCGTACTCAATTTGCCGGTCGTGGCGCAGATCACACATCAAAGTAACGTACAGTCCACACCAGCTGCCGTGGACAGTAACCAGAATGGCATAGTAATTGTACAAGGCAATATGCCGCCTAAAGTAGATCCACAAACACACGCGGTTTTTGAACTATTGCCGGTGGAAAATGGAGAAGACGGTGATGACGGGCTTGATGGCGTTGACTATGGTGATGATTCTCACCTATTGTATCAAGAAGAAATTAGTCCAGTGAGCACCACAGCTATTTGGTCGACTGGTGACGACGAACCTCTGAAATATGGTCAGACTGAGTTGGAGACTGATACTGAAGACTATGCTGATATAGATGAGGGACAGAATGGCACAGCTAAACCTAAACCATCGAAAAGACCTACAAAGAGACCGACAAAAAAACCATCCAAAAAGCCATCGCGCAAACCTTCTAGAAGACCTGTCAAGAAACGTCCTAACAACAAACGTCCAAATACATCGAGTAGCAAACGTCGTCGTCCAAGCAAAAGGAACAAGAATTCGTCCCATAGACGTGGCACGAGCAATAATAAGAGACGTCGCCCACATCCCAATTACGACGATGACGATTTGGATGGTTTTCGCCTAACAGCCAATCGTCTCAAGAATCACAAACTAGACAATTTAAAGTATAAACGTAAACAGTTGAACAAGGAGAATGAAGCCAACCAAGGCACAAACACTTTTACGAAGACCGAGACTTTTACACGTACCGGTACATCCGATGATGAGAAGAATGTTAACTGTATTATTATCAACAAAACCACAACACCGCGCCCATTCTGGGGCCTGTTCGGTCGTAGCGCAGATGGTGATGAGGCTGAGGCAACCACCGCGAAACCCTACGGCAGAAGGAAGCGCATTAACTTCAGTCTGCCGGCATAAGTTCATTTGCTAGCTTCAGGATTAAGTGAAATAGAATTAATTTTAATTTAATATTTATTTAATTGATATTTATAAAAGAAATAAAGAAATGTACTACATATTTCGAAATTAATATTGCTCGAAAAATTTTGTATGACAGTATTTTTTTCTTTTCCGACGAAGTCGTCTCCTGAACGGGTCTTCATATGTAATTCGTCTCTTTTATCTCAATTAATATAAGTTTATGTCTACCGAAAAGGAGACCAATGTGTCTGAGAAAACAAAAAATGAATAGTTCGTGAAATCAGAAACTCTGTTGCAGATGGCCATGATGTTGATGATATTTCGAATTGCAGAACTAAAGGTTCAGAAGAATAAGGTTCATTAACCTATCTTTAAGTCGGTTTTCAGTTAAGGAATTCAGCATTGCCGTTCAGCTCTTCGGATGTACGTCTTGCCACACTCCCAATTATGGAGAGTTTCCTCTGTAATATTTGCTTACAAAGCATTATAATGTTCTCCCCGAATTGAACAAAGAACATGGTTGAATTTCACGGAGGGCAAAGAAAAGGTGCTGCAACGATATTATATTAGCTAAAGATATTTGGCAAGGAGTGCCTAACCTCGCCACCAATAGCATCGAGTATCTTGGTGATAAGACTGGTATAGGCGACAGGCCACGTAGGAAATTGTAAAGCCGATGGGCTAGCAAGGAAAGGCAAAGTGGAACCACTATCGGTAATATAGGAGCGTATCGTTGCTCCCGTATCCTCTTGTGTTCTACTACTACAAAGATGGAGTTTGCGGAAGCTTGGCCAGCACTGGGCTACCATCGGTGTATGCGCTGTCGCAAAAGAGGTAATTTTGCCCTCAGTAAGGCTAACTCTACTTAGTTATGAGGCTTTTAACAGACCATTGTTCTATTGGCGCCCAAACTGTATAGTTAGGAATCTTACCAAACGCCATCTACTCAAGCTGTATGGCAGAAGATGAGGTGGGAGCTACTCAACACTTCCTTCTTGACTGTCCCGCGTTTGGTAGGTTGAGACTTAGACACTTGGGAGTGCAAACATACAAATATTCCACCCAGCTAGTGGGAGTGAAAATTAATTGCATGTGCAAATTTGTATTGGCTTCTGCGTTTCTTTTCTACGGCTTCTTAAAGGACTACATATAGCAGATCACGAGCCATCTCTCTAGATCAGCCTTCTAACCTAACCCTAACCTATTAGTACTTATTGGATCATAATATCATAGAATATGCCATCGAAATTTCTCGGACTGTTAACAAACCTAAGACTTTAAGCTTTACATTTGGCAACCCGTGCTCTTTCGCTCCGACCGATTTTATTGTCAAAGTACATAACAACTTCAAAATCCTTAAGTTACTAACAGGCAGCACCTGGGGAAAGGACAAAGAAACATTGTTGGCAAGATACAAATCAATCAACTATCCGGCCATCAACCGCGCAGGGCAGTCTGAATGAAAAGCAAACTAGGAAGCTTTAGACGTATCAGTATACAACACTCCGTAAGATTAGAGGATGCATCTTGATATCTCCTGCCGAGCACTTACATAGTGAGGTCTACATGCTTCCGGGTTAATAACACATTGCACTTCTTTCTCTCCAACCAGTTACATATTTTTGCAGTAATCATCCCTGCAGTTATCTTCTTGAAGCGGAGCCGTCTCCTTCGTCGACGATATTGAACAGTACCCTAACCAGACAACATACGCAACAAACTTCAGACAAGCACGGACCGTCATTCACAATAGAGTCACCAGCACCTTCACCTACTCCTTACCACTGTTTGGTATGCTTGGAATCGAACTAGTTGAAAGAATTCGAGTTGCACTTAGAATCTTGGTTTACACTTGCGCAACTTCATTCTGGATATTGTAGTAGATAAAAATCATAATTAGTTAGAATTAATCCCGACATTCCAAATATATTTCTTGAGCAACATATCCTCTTCGCATGCCTAATGAATGCCACTTATCAAGCATCCGTATCGACCGACGTCGTTGATCATTTCCACTACAGTCGGGTATACGTAACCAGTCGGACACATATTTTTATACTCTCGCAACAAAGTTGCTAAGGAGAGTATTATAATTTTGTTCACATAACGGTCGTTTGTAAGTCCTAAAACTAAAAGAGTCAGATATAGGGTTGTACATACCAAAGTGATCAGGGTGTCGAGTATAGTATAAATCCGGATGTCTGTCTGTCCGTCCGTCCGTCCGTGCAAGCTGTAACTTGAGTAAAAATTGAGATATCAWGATGAAACTTGGTACACGTATTTCTTGGCTCCATAAGAAGGTTAAGTTCGAAGATGGGCAAAATCGGCCCACTGCCACGCCCACAAAATGGCGAAAACCGAAAACCTATAAAGTGTCATAACTAAGCCATAAATAAATATATTATAGTGACATTTATCACAAAGGATCGCATTAGGGAGGGGCATATTTGGACGTAATTTTTTTGCAAAAGTGGACGTGGCACCGCCCCCTACTAAGTTTTTTGTACATATCTCTGAAACTACTATAGCTATGTCAACCAAACTCTACAAGGTCGTTTCCTTCAGGCATTTCCATATACAATTCAAAAGTTGAAGAAATCGGATAATAACCACGCCCACCTCCCATACAAAGGTTATGTTGAAAATCACTAAAAGTGCGTTAATCGACTAACAAAAAACACTGAGAACACTGAGTTTTACGGAAGAAATGTCAGAAGGAAGTTGCATCCAGGCCTTTTTTAAAAATTGAAAATGGGCGTGGCGTCGCCCACTTATGGACCAAAAACCATATCTCAGGAAATACTCAACCGATTTCAATGAAATTCGGTATGTMATATTTTCTTAACACCGTGATGACATGTACCAAATTTGGGTGAAATCGGTTCACAACCACGCCTGAAATCTCGATTATCACTTTATCATGCGAGAGTATAAAATGTTCGGTGATACCCGAACTTTGCCCTTCCTTACTTGTTTATTCTGATTTCTGAAGACATCATTCTTCTTACCTTCTACATCGAGTTCTATATACAAAGAAGGCGGTAATTCAAAGATGGCAAAAGTGAAGTCAAGCTTATAGTTACTTTAAGTCTAGTACTAGTTTAGACGAAGTAGACAATCGAGTACCTAAAACGTTACAGGCTTATTAACATATGGGTCTTTTAATATTTGGTAAGATGACAATAACGTCCAAAAAACTTCTCACGATTACTCAAAAATGTAGTCTGCGAAAGAGTTATTATAGCCAAGTCTAATTATCTTGTGAGATGAAACTATGAGCCCTACTAACTTTATACAAACAAACTCAAGTTAACTGCTAAGATCAAATTCTTCAGACTTGGAGATATTTAATACGGATAAACTAGGGTTAACAAAACGTTAACAAAACGCGTTGGAAAGCAAGAGGAGAGGATATTGTTTTCAAAGAAATGTTAGCTTGTGAACGAAAGAAACTAAAAGACGTGACTATAACTGCTGAAAAAAAAGTCAAAATGGATACCAGTGTCGTAGTGGTTTTTACTAAAGCCCCTCACTTTTCGGTTGAGTACGACAGTACTTCAGCTGTTGGTTTCGAAAGAATGTGCGAGCGGGAAACGGTGAATGGGAGATTCCAGATTGCGTCATTTCACAATTTGAATTCGGTGCCATTTTTTGTTGTTGCTGTTTATACATAAACATAATAAATTTGTGAGTATTTATTTAGTCGCAAATTTTCCACCGTTTAGTTATCTCTTCAATGGAACCCCACAATTAGACGCATGACTTCTTAAATGCCATAAAAAGCAGAAACTTCACACGCTTAAGAGGTTTGGCGCGATTACCGAATGCGAATGAGACTCCGCCCGCATGACATAGAAAAGATTTTCCCAAGCTTTTCGAGGCTTAGCCGCAAAGACTGATAATACGCAACAATGCTACACCGTTTTATGCTGAGCGCACATACAGCAACAACAACAACAACTCTGATATATATAAATATAATATGTAGATAATTATGCAAAAACTTGCTTAGAAGTTATCTTGGCAGCGGTGAAGGTATACCACGGTGAAAAGACAACGGTGGTACCTATGTACCGACATACATACATATACACTTTCTCGCCCCCCACATTAGGAACTTTATGGCTTTTCCTAATTTATCCAACTTAACACAAATATAATCAAATTGTGCAACGGAGCCTAACGCTGCACGGTGGTATTCTTAATTTCTACGCCTGGCTTGCGTGTCTTCTTCGCTTACTTATGTGTTGCTCAGGTGACTTCCTTTGCAAGTTATTGTTGTTTGTTTTGCGTGTTTTCTTTGAGGCTTCTTCCTTTTGCTGATGACGTGCCGAAAATACGTTACAATTGCAATGAGTTTGACGCATGCGCGCCATCATTAGCGGTGACAATACAGTGAGCGCAGCATGTGAACGACAGGGAGTCGAAAATTGCGCGTCCCAAACGCGCGGAAACCGCATATGTGCAGCGTAAGGTGTCAAGCGGCGTAGGAAAATTACGTCTGTTCTTGGCGCAGCTAACAAAAGACGTAGAGAAGACGCGCATTTGTGGGTATTCCGCGCAATACCGACGCGCGACCCATATGGTCTTACCAATACAGCTGCATTGAGCTCGGCGTTTTATCGGCAATACGTGCTTAATGAGTTGACATCACGTTGACAGTCGTTGCAACCGAAATTCGTTGCAAGAGGGTCACTATTACATGCCATAACGCTTGCTCACCAGCTGCGCCTACGAAATTACCAGTGCAAAGGTGGCTCAAAGAGACGCAGCTAAAGATGATACCACGGCTGCGCTGCGTTGTGAGACGATTGGTAAAGAAGTTGCGCGTTAATTATCGACCGGAAGCCGCAGTTGCAGTTGGTACCCTTTGACCCTAACTTCGTACTGTCATTGAATCAAATTGGACACTCGATATTGGCGAGCGCTAGCGTGGTAGCTCGGCTCCTTTCCAATACACTTACTAGTGTAATGCTTATGCAACTCTGCTTTATGTCTTTGCTCGTCATTCTGTTGCACATGCGGCAGCCACGTTGTCATCTCGGCGTGTTTCTTACGCAACGTAAAAACAATAAAAAAGATAATAGC